GAATATGTCATAGCGCAAATGAAGGCTCGAAGATGGCTGTTTGATTGGGCTCAGGTAGAAAAATGCTGACTAATCGCTTGGCTGATATCTGTCCTTTGAAGATAACAGAGAAACGACACCCGAATTCAAAACCAGTTAATTTTCACCGTTACGCGACCACGAGATTCTTTTGATGTTCACCAAAGTATCGAACTAGTCTTCTTGTCTCATCCACCATGTGACATACACTGAGCCTTTAATTTTGCTGTGACATATTGCCGCGTAACTAGTGCCGAGTTCCGAGTATCGAGGATGATAGCCTTGCATGGCATCAGTACGTACTAATTTGCTCTGAATTTAATGTAAAGTGTATGGAAAGCGAAAGCTGATGTAAAACTATAGTACATGGTCAGAGGTCCAAACAATTCGTTCAAAATATGCCACACCGTTTGTCTGAGGACCTTTATCTGTGAATCTTCAATGCGCGTGACAGTGTGACCAACAATGAAGTTATTCACTATCCAACATCCAAAGTTTGTAATAGCAAGAAAAGTACATATGCAAATAAAGCCAGTACCTTTCTTGTGAGTTTGTTTTCGTACACAACTAGCAGCGTGAAGGAGAAAAACACTTTGAAAATAATCCTGGATAATGTTAATGCAATTTCCTGCAACAATGGCCTGTGATCCATCGGTGTCAGAAAGACAACCAGCCATTACTGCGAAACAGTGTTGATTAAAAACGGCCAATACAGATCCCAGGAATAGCATTTCCCTGGTGCTGTAAGCTCGGGCACTCGGTGTTGGAAAAACCAAGCCAGTCTCTGTGTAATAAAACCCCAAAATAACCGCAATGATCATAATAGATTTCATTGCAATTTCGTACAATATCACAGGTATTGCCATATCGTCTTGGGAAAACAATGCATGCATGCTATGTAAGGTTAGATTAGGTAACAGCAGCAACACGCTACAAATTATGAAAATGTATACGTATATTGATGACCTAACAACATGCCTGTTGTTCTGAGCCACTGTTGGTAAAAGAGGAGTGTTTTCTTCATACCCAATGTTCAGTGAATTTTCGTCGCTATGTTTCTCATCCATTTCTTCGATGGTCTCATTATCTGAGGAAGGCAGAGAACTGATTTCAGTCAGCAAAGTAATGCACAATAACATAAACTCCACACAAGCCGGAAGAAGGAATTTCTTCGACTTATAGTAAAGTAACCCGGATGTAGAATTTAGAGCACACTCTATCCAATCGGAAATGTTATGTTGATGATCCGTTGGAGTATTTTTGTTCAATAATGTTTTGTCACGGATGAATGTGTTTACCCAAAGACAAACATTGACACCAATTAAAACTCGTATTGCATATTTTGTTAACGATATTCCTTCTATTTTGTATGATTGAAGATATCGCAGTACTGCGGATTGGCTTAAGATTAATATAACCCGGAGAATGGAATCAGCAATCTGCGTCGGAGAGAAGGAATTCCAGCACTGCATCTCGACAGCAGCTTTAAAACAGAAGAATACTGATGACAATATTGCAAACAGCCAAACGAAGCCCAGTTGTATATACTTTGGTTTGATACTTTGAGATCCCGACGACTCGGTAGATGGAACACCGTTCTTGTAGATAAGGTGACCAATCAGAGCACACATTACAATACCGGTTGTGTCAGTGAGTATCAAAAACACTTTAATTACTTGCACACGCTGCATTGCTCCACTTTCGATTGAAAGACTTCCGGTGAAGACGATTATCGATGCAAGAAGTAGCAGGAACATGATTATGGATGAAGTGCTACAATCATAGAAGCGGAACGAACCGGAACTGTTTCGTCTGGTTCCTGCCATAAATGGTATAACAAAGAATGCTCGAAGTAAGGCCAAGATTTTCCTTTTCATTGTAAAGAGTATTGTTTCAACAAATATCTACAATGAGAAACATAAATGTGATAACTGCCAAACGAAAATAACTGAAATTCATGCTTTAAAAGTGGAACGTTCGCGGTGCGAAATTGTTTGTATTTTTCGCGGTAAGTGAATAAGTACTAAAATATCTACACGCGATATATATCTTCTCATCTATAGATTCAATATAAAGATTACAGATATTCACAAATAAAGAATAATTCGATTTCAGAATTACATGTAATGACAATGCGAAAATGTCCTCACCGCTATCACTTTGAAGGGACACAACGCGAATCCTGTGTACCGGGAAAATTTCGCCCATTCTAGCTTTCGCCCTTCGCCCATAAAATTGATATTAGCCCAGTGTTAATTTTGCCCTTCACATTAATTACAATGATTATTATGATGTTAACTTTTATTCGCTGTAATGATAAATTCGCCCTCATATTACTGAGGGCGAAACAGGCGAAAATTAAACTGCAGCCGGTATACATTATTTCCTTATGTCCACACGCGTAAAGTGTACCCGAATAATATATTAGGATAATTCAAAACATCAATTACCTTCACATATCATATCAAGCACATTACATCTCCAACACACACACAGGCATACACACATAGGGCGATATTAGCAAGGTGACATAGGACTAGAAGTTAGCGCCTGATAAGGCAGATTCTGTGAATTCCTCAATAATGATAAATGTATGTGTTAATTCTAAAATCACGACTTGTTAATTTCACGATTACGATTATGGATAACTGAGATCACAGGTATACGTACCTAATAAACGTGTATAGTTTACAAGACGGCGTTTACAGGAACTTCGATTATGTCTTGAAAAAATTGAGAGTGCAGAGGAGGTATGCGTTATTGAAAGCAGAACCTTAGGGCAACACATATGATGATCTCCTTATAAGCATCGTTATAATACAATACGAATATTTAGAAAAAAAACACGTAATCGTTTTACTGTTGTATAATATACCACCTGATATATCGAATTTTGTTTGTTCAGTAAGAGATTTTTACAGAAAAAAAAATGTATTTTTTTTTTAGATTAACCGCCATAGTTTAAGGCATGGTAGAGCAATTTTAACCAGAAGGATAAATGGCTGATTGCCGAACACGAGGCTTGCTTCAAGCGGGCGGTTTAAACGCTCTTGAATATCACTTTGGCGATTAACACCTCTCCGACTTAATAACACCGTAAAGAATGATTTATTTCCTCATTTTGATAAATAATATGTTTCGAACTAACAGATACACAAATGTACCAGGATTTGTAATAGCGTTTTCTTTAATGAGAAGAATAAGTAAAATTAGATGCTTCGCGTATATTTATACCGCAGATAAGTTACCGTCAGTATTGAAATAAGATTCTCAAAGTCGTGAATTCAAACGTAGGAAAAAAAAAGATCTAGAGACATGCTATGAAAATATAAATGATTCACAGTAGTTAACAGTAATTAAATTGTCTGGTGTTACAATACAGAGAACGGTAAACCATTCAAACAATGAGTTATAATTTAAGATTGGTTAAAGAGTTTTAAAACAGAACGCAGAATCCTTACACGGTAATCACTATTCACCTTTGATATGTTGAGATCTCTACGAAAAACGTTAACTCATGATATAGATATTTTAAAAGAAAAAAATAGCAGCTGTTTCATGTCTTCAATAAGATAAATCAGTTTGGAAATATGTTATAATCACAGTTTTACTATATACACAACCAATGTTTGATAATTGTTGGAGAAATGAAAAAAACATTTTTCAAAAATGATTTATTTTTATTTACTTTCTCTTTTTTCATTTTTCAATATTTTTTTACAGTAGTTAGAAAACTCGTTCAAGATAATATAAGAAACCGTCAAAAGTATTTTGTCACTTAAAATTCTGGTTCAAATAGATATGACTTTATCAAATGCAAATAAAACATTTTAAAGTTTGATTGCAGATAAATAATATATACACGTAGAAAATAATATATGCAGATTTTGAATTTTGCAAACGGATAGTCACAAATTAGTATTGAAGGATTGTATAAGACTCTTACAAGCATATAACAGTACACTTAATTTAGATTTACAACTAAAATTAACGACGAAATTTCAATATATCTTACCAGCAATGTTTTGTTACAACAAGTTATGATTTCCTCACACACCCAGCTGTCCAATGTGGGCTTAATCGCAGTATGACGATGTAAGAAGGAATTATATTTACTAAAGATAAAAATGTATAGATATTAGTCAGTTTTGTCTGCCTGTAAACGAATAACCCCAATCAAAAACGCCAAATGTGTATAACCCAGGAAGAATATGATAAGGAACTATTTACTTTGAGATTACGTCATACTAACAGGTTTTATCAATGGACGATGGATGTTCCATCGCACTGTGGATTTTCGCATTTAGAGTAATCTCCCTTCCAGACCCTCATACCACTGCCAAAAACTGAAACTGAGCATCGGAATTGATTTTTTTCAAGCATGATTATAGCTTTGATAAATCATTTCTGAAAAGAAAACCTTATCTAGCGGGATTGTTTTTTTGAAAATTTCAGCGGGGCTATACCGGGATTCGAACTCTGGCACCCTTGTTATACTACTGCTGTAACCGACTGGGATACCTGGTCAACGCAATTGTACTAGCCAAAATGTGCTACAATCAAACCAACCGGAAGTTAAAGGGAAATACTATAAATAGAAATAAAACGACAGTGCAATGGAACATGGATACTTAACTTCTGTTAAGATATAACTGTAGCACAGTTGGGTCAGGACAC